GCCTGTGGGACCAACCGGCAGCACCCCAGCTGCTCTGCCCCAGGCATCCCCAAGAGCAGCTGGGGTGCTGCCGGGTTGGTCTGGCCGCGCCAAGGGTCGGCGCCTCTGGACCAACCAGGCAGCACTCCAGCTGCTCTGCTGCAGGCGTCCCCGATTCAGCCACTGCTGAAACTGACCAGCAACGGCTGAATCAGGGACACCTGGGGCAGAGCCGGACTATCGGAAGGGAGGGCTATGAGGGGTCTGGGTGGCATCCCTCCCACACCAGACCCTTCTTAGCCCCCCTTTCCGATAGTCCGGCATATTTGATAATCTGGCACCCCCTGGGTCCTAAAGGTGCCGAATTATCGGAAGTTTACTGTATTGTTTATTTAACTGATTCACTACTTCATCAGTAAAAAGTAGATATACATCAGCCTTCATAAACCTGGACAGATACCAAACATTTCAGGCAAACTCTTTGTAAAGATAAACAGTTACACAAATTTGTCCACAAAAGATAGATATTAAGTGATAGCAAAAAATCAGAGTACACACACATACCCCATGCCTGATATCCCAGATTGTAGAGAGGTTGGGAGGTTCATCCAGTAGCCACCATGAGCTTCGCGATGGATGAACCTGGCACCCTTGGAACAAAGGAAGGATAAGGGGGGCCCAGATTTAGGAAGGTTGGGGGGCTCCTCCAGTGGCACAGTGGATAAAGTTTTATATATATAAAATGCAGTCTAAACTCTCAGCTCTGCTAGACTGGGCAGCAATAGATTAAGCAGTTTTTCCTCACTTCACTGGATACTGCCATCCTTAGTATACAGGTTTGTGTCTTAAACCTGGGCTAATCGCCTCTGTTGGGACTCTTTAGACTTCTCGGTGTCCCTGTTGTTTGCAGCATATGTGAAGACAGGAGAAAAGGCCAAGCATGGGGCCATATAGTCTGTCTTATACCCTCAGTCCTATGTGGTTGGAGAATGCAAGTCCAGCCATGTCTGGTGAACATTGCTGAGTCCTCAGGCAAGGTTGAGTAATTCCCTTAGGCCATGTCTACACTACAAATTATTTCAAATTTACTAAATTTGACTTATGGACTCCTGATTTAACAAATTCAAATTTGCGTGTCCTGACTATGGGGAATCATCACAATTAGTCCAAAATAGCATGTCCACAATTACCCGAGCCTGCCTTGGACTTAGAGCCCCCGGACGCACTTTGGGGAGTGCATCAGGAAGATGGATACTTCCTATGGCTGCTTGATCCAGTAAACTGTGACAGTTGCTTAGAGGGGCTCCTTTCCACGCCTCCCTCTCACAAGGCACTTCTCCACTCCCTTCCCCCTCGTGGGACAGAAAGGAGATGCGGTGGGCATGAACCTTTGTGCTGCTCTGGTTGCGTACATAGATGCGACAGCACTGCCACCATGGAACCAGAACTGCTGCAAAGAAGTGCCATGATCATGGCTCTCGTGCTGTGTCTCATGGTGCAGTACTTTCAGATGGCCTGCATGTTACTTCAGCATGAGGATGAGGAGCATGACCCCTAGGGAAGCCCGCAGGCCCTGTTCAGCCAAGTCTTGGTGCTCCTGCTAGTGTGCACACCCCTCAATCCCCTGGACATAGTGGAACGTCGCTTCTGGTGGAGAGAGATGAGCTCGGACTGGTGGGACCACATCATCATGCAGGGATGGGATGATCAGCAGTGGTTTCACAATTTATGAATGCACAAAGCCACCTTCCTCGAACTCTGTGAGTGGCTCACCCTTGCCCATAGGCAACAGGACACCTGACTGAGACCCACCATCTCCGTGTAGAAGCATGTGGCCGTTGCCCTCTGGACGCTCTCTATGCCAGATAGCTACAGCTCAGGCAGGAACCAGTCTGAGGTGGGGAAATCCACAGTCGGGGCTGTGCTCATGCAAGTAGCCAAGGCCATCAACCACATGCTGCTACAGAGGGTCATCGCTCTGGGCAACATGGACAGCACTGTCAGTGGCTTCCCCAACTGTGCAGGGAGGGGACATAAATGGAACAAACATCCCCATCCTTGCCCCGACAAGGGCCTTGGAGTACATTAACCACACGGGCTATTTCCCCATGGTGCTGCAGGAGTTTGTGGATCACAAGGGAACTCTTGCTTCTTCCGAAAAATGCACACCGGCACTTTTTTCCCAGACTGGATAATCATAGCTTGTGGATCACAAGGGAACTTTTGCCTCTTCTGAAAGATGCACACCGGCACTTTTTTCCCAGACTGGATAATCATAGTCAGAGAGGTGGACATGCCCATCATGATCCTGGGCAACGCAGCCTGCCCCTTGCTTCCCTGGCTCATGAAGCCCTACATGGGCAGCCTGGATCCCACCCCAGGAAGGAGGAGTTAAACACGAGGCTGAGCAGGTGAAGAATGATGGTGGAATATGCGTTCTGATGTTTAAAGGGGAGGTTCAGGAGTCTCTTCACCTGCTTGGACCTCAGTGAGCGCAACATCCCCTTCATAGTGGCAGTCTGTTGAGTACTCCACAACCTGTGTGAGAACAAGGGGGAGATTTTACTGTCAGGGTGGGAGGCTGAGGCAGAATGCCTGGCCAGGGAGTTTGAGCAACTGGATGCCAGTGCCATACGGAGAGCACAGTAAGGGACTATGCTCGTCAGAGAGGCCTTGAAGGACACTTTTATGCAAGGCCAGTTATGTGATTCTCCCCTGTGACTCTCCACAAGGGACCCCTGAATTCCCTGTGTGTGCCTTTCATCCCCCTCTCCTCCCTCCCCTCTTCCCCGCAGAACAAACAATAGACAGCATTCTTGAAAAAGCAGGAGTCTTTATTTGGGGGACATACAACAGAGAGGGAGTGGGAAATGAACCTGGAATAGGGTAGGGGGGCTCAGGGATGTGTCAGGGACTGGTGGGGTAGCCTGGAGGCTCCTGCTGCTCTAGAGGGTCCACCCCGTCCCCAGGGACCCTTGCAGGGGAAGCCAGCGAGTGGGTGAGTAGGTGGCTGGTGGCCCACTCCATGCACGCTGCCATGGGCTCCATCACTGAGGTGAGGGTGGAGAACATATCCTCCTGCTAGCACACCAGCTCTTTCCAGGCAGCTTTTCTCTCCTCCTGGTCAGCTCACCGCTCCTCTCTCTTGGCATCCTGCTCTTGGCACTCGAGTCCCTGCATGAGAGACTTCAGGCAGACCAGCTGCTCCCTCAAGAGCTCATCCCAGATGTTTCCACCTGTGGATCCCGCGGAGTCGGGTAGATTGTGTGGGAGATGGGGGATGTGCCCAGCTCGCAGCTGTTCCATCTGTGAAGAAAAGTTACAAGGACAGTCTTCACAGAAGACACTGCATGAAGCCTAGTCCTAATCTCTGAGACGACACCAAAGGTCTCAGTTCAGATGATGGCAATGTGTTTTGAGCAAGGCCATATGTTGCCTGTAAAGTGAGTACTTTTCAGGGCACAGATGTGCCAGGAGAGCATCACAACACCCATGGCCCAGGGATAGGCAGGCATGGGAAGGTTCCGGGTAGGCCAGGAGCCTGCGGGCAGCGGGCTTGGGGGGACACAGCTCAGCTTCTTTCTGTGCCCTGCAAACACTGAGTCTGGCACTGGTGGCGTCCCACAGAGAGAGAACTTCTATCCCTGCCCATTGGAAGGGGTGGGGTGTTGGTAGAGGTGTGTGAGAGCAGCAGGTGTTGCTTGTCAGAGAGAGTACTACTGGGTTCCCCTCCTCTTCCTCTTCCTGGCAGTTTCTCATGCACAGTAACAGTCTCCTCTGCATCACTGTGCTTAATCAGGAGTGAATTCTGACTGAATGCGGGAATAACAGGCTTGGTAGTGTGGACGCACAGTTTACTAACTTGAAGTTGGGGACATTATTTCAGATGAAGGACCTAGTATAGACCAGGCCTTGGTGTGGCCTCATGCAGGTGAGTCACTGAATTGTAGCTTTCTTGCTGAACTTTGGCTGGTGATAACAGTTCAGAACCTGCGTGGGTATTGCTTACTTCCCTTGTCATTGTCTCTGGATAGTTAGTATCTGGATGCCTCCCAAGTGCACAGCATAATTTACTGACAACCATACAACACATAATTTCATATGCATTAGTCTCATAACTTCATATACATATTTAGATAGAAAAAAATGACTTTCAGCAGCTTCTAACCTTTCCTCAGATCACAAAGAACCTGTTTAAGGTTCTTTGGTTGCCATAGTTCCAAGGGTTTCTCCCATTCAACAGAAGAGAGATTTCTGAGTGTGCCATTTAACTGGTAACCTTAGTCTGGTGTTTGGCACGTAGCACTCGCTGACCATAGTTTGTGATTCTCTGTAGTAACTGAGATACATTTCCCTCTCGGGAACAAATTCTGGTCTATCTATTATTAGCACTGTGTGTTTAACAATAGCAATTTTACATGGGGTCATTTCCTGCGTGGGCCAGGAGACTCTTCTTAGTTTGCACATGTTCTAGACACCTATCAGGGGTTATAATTGATCTTTGCTTTATTTGATAAAGGCCTTTCTTATCTTTCTGCGTCAAAGTCACATACAGGAACTGATTGAGTAAGCAAACATCCCCAATCTCTTTCTCTTCCACTGCGTTATTTTGCCAGTAGCCTCCTGCTGCCAGCAGCTGAGGGCTTTGTGTCTTCATATTTCCTAGCATATTGCTGTAGGCAAAGAGAACAATCGGAATGGAAAGAGGGAAAGAAAAAGATTTTGTAACTACAGCAGACTGATGGTGGCTTGAAGAATGAAGTATGAACGTTCCAAGAGAACAACCTGTCTCTTGTAAAAATCAGCAAGAGGTACAGGTACCAGGGCTGATTTTTTTTCCTACTGAATTCAC